CCGGAACAAAGCATTAGCACATAGTGAATACATGAACTCCTCAAACTATGGTCATCACCGGGAGTGGTCCCGATTATTGTCACTTCGAGGTTGCCGGATCATAACACATAGTAGGTGACTATAGACTTGCAAGATAGGATCAAGAACACACATATATTCATGAAAACATAATAGGTTCAGATCTGAAATCATGGCACTCGGGCCCTAGTATCAAGCATTAAGCATAACAAAGTCATAGCAACTTTAATCTCAGAACATAATGGATACTAAGGATCAAACCCTAACAAAACTAACTCGATTACATGATAAATCTCATCCAACCCATCACCGTCCAGCAAGCCTACGATGCAATTACTCACGCACGACGGTGAGCATCATGAAATTGGTGATGGAGGATGGTTGATGATGACGACGGCGACGAATCCCCCTCTCCGGAGCCCCGAACGGACTCCAGATCAGCCCTCCCAAGAGAAATTAGGGCTTGGCGGCGGCTCCATATCGTAAAACGCGATGATCTCTTCTCTCTGTTTTTTTTCTCCCCGAAAGCCAATATATGGAGTTGGAGTTGGCGTCGGAGGGCCACCAAGGGCCCACGAGGTTGGGGGCGCGCCCACCCTCGTGGACAGGGTGTGGGCCCCCTGGTCTTCATCTTTGGCGAGGATTTTTTATTGTTTTTTTCTAAGGTGTTCCGTGGAGTTTCAGGTCATTTCGAGAACTTTTATTTTCTGCACATAAAACAACACCATGGCAATTCTGCAGAAAACAGCATTAGTCTGGGTTAGTTCCATTCAAATCATACAAGTTAGAGTCCAAAACAAGGGCAAAAGTGTTTGGAAAAGTAGATACGACGGAGACGTATCAGACAACCACATTCACTTTCAATAGGGCACCACGTAATTCCGTTGAGATGACACCGTATGAACTATGGTTTAGAGAAACCTAAGCTGTCGTTTCTTGAAAGTTTGGGGCTGCGACGCTTATCTGAAAAAAAGTTTCATCCTGATAAACTTGAACCCAAAGCGGATAAATACATCTTCATAGGACACCCAAAACAGTTGGGTATACCTCCTATTTCAGATCCGGAAGCAAAAGTGATTGTTTCTAGTAATGGGTCCTTTCTCGAGGAAAAGTTTCTCTCGAAAGAATTGAGTGGGAGGATGGTGGAGACTTGATACGGTTATTGAAACGTCACTACAACTAGTGTGTAGCAGGGCATAGGAAGTTGTTCCTGTGGCACCTACACCAATTGAAGTGGAAGCTGATGATAGTTATCACGAAGCCTCGGATGAAGTCACTGCCGAACCTCGTAGGACGACAAGGACGCGTACTGCTTCATAGTGGTACGGTAATCCTGTCTTGGAGGTCATGTTGCTAGACAACAATGAACCTACGAGCTATGGAGAAGCGATGGTGGGCCCGGGTTCCGACAAATGGCTCGAGGCCATAAAATCCGAGAGAAGATCCATGTATAAAACAAAGTGTAGACTTTGGAAGAACTACTTGATGGTCATAAGGCTGTTGGGTACAGATGGATTTTAAAAGGGAAGACAGACAATGATGGTAAGTGTCACCATTAACAAAGCTCGACTTGTCACTGAGATGTTTTCCGACAAGTTCAAGGAGTTGACTACGATGATACTTTCTCACTCGTAGCGATGCTAAGAGTCTGTTAGAATTATATTAGCAGCTACTGCATTATTTATGAAATCTTGTAGATAGGATGTCAAAATATAGTTTCCTCGACGATTTTCTTGAGGAAAGGTTGTATCTGATACAACCAGAAGGTTTTGACAATCCTAAAAGATGCTAACAAGTATGCAAAGCTCCAGCAATCCTTCTAAGGACTGGAGTAAGCATATCGGAGTTGGAATATACGCTTTGATGAGATGATCAAAGATTTTGGATTTATACAAAGTTTATGAGAAACTTGTATTTCCAAAGAAGTGAGTGGGAGCACTATAGAATTTCTGATGAGTATATGTTGTTGACGTATTGTTGATCAGAAATGATATAGAATTTCTAGAAAGCATATAGGGTATTTGAAAAAGGTGTTTTTCAATAGAAAACCTGGATTAAGCTACTTGAACATTGAGCATCAAGATCTATAAGGATAGATAAAAAATGCTCAATGATACTTTCAAACGAAGGACTTGATCCGGGAGTAGAGGTTGTGATTCCCGACAATGCCTCCAAGGAGGATAGTGACACCCACAGGCGCCGTGGCCGCCGACCGACCATTCTTTCACCTGGTGCAGCCACTCCCAGGCAGCAGCACGAGGTCGACCAGTGTTGGAAATATGCCCTAGAGGCAATAATAAAATGGTTATTATTGTATTTCCTTGTTCATGATAATTGTCTATTGTTCATGATATAATTGTATTAACTGGAAACCGTAATACATGTGTGAATACATAGACCACAACATGTCCCTAGTGAGCCTCTAGTTGACTAGCTCGTTGATCAACAGATGGTCATGGTTTCCTGACCATGGACATTGGATGTCATTGATAACGGGATCACATCATTAGGAGAATGATGTGATGGACGAGACCCAATCCTAAGCATAGCACAAGATCGTGTAGTTCGTTTGCTAAAGCTTTTCTAATGTCAAGTATAATTTCCTTAGACCATGAGATTGTGTAACTCCCTGATACCGTAGGAGTGCTTTGGGTGTACCAAACATCACAACGTAACTGGGTGGCTATAAAGGTGCACTACGGGTATCTCCGAAAGTGTTTGTTGGGTTGGCACGAATCGAGACTGGGATTTATCACTCCGTATGACGGAGAGGTATCTCTGGGCCCACTCGGTAATGCATCATCATAATGAGCTCAATATGACTAAGTAGTTAGTCACGGGATCATGCATTATGGAACGAGTAAAGTGACTTGCCGGTAACGAGATTGAACGAGGTATTGGGATACCGACGACCGAATCTCGGGCAAGTAACATACCGATTGACAAAGGGAATTGCATACGGGATTGCTTGAATCCTTGACATCGTGGTTCATTCGATGAGATCATCGTGGAACATGTGGGAGCCAACATGGGTATCCAGATCCCGCTATTGGTTATTGACCGGAGAACGTCTCGGTCATGTCTCCATGGTTCCCGAACCCGTAGGGTCTACACACTTAAGGTTCGGTGACGCTAGAGTTGTTATGGGAAATAGTATGTGGTTACCGAAGGTTGTTCGGAGTCCCGGATGAGATCCCGTACATGACGAGGAGCTCCGGAATGGTCTGGAGGTGAAGATCGGTATATTGGACGAAGGGTATTGGAGTCCGAAATTGTTCCGGGGGTACCAGGTGATGACCAGCGTGTCCGAAAGGGGTTTCGGAGGCCCCGGCAAGCGTTGGGGGGCCTTATGGGCCAAGGGGAGAGGGCACATCAGCCCACTAAGGGGTGGGCGCCCCTCCCACCCCATCTCACGTAACCAGGAGAGGTGGGGGCGCCACCCTTAGGGCAGCCGCCCCTCCCGGCTTGGGGGGCAAGTTTCCTAGGGGGTGGGGGCGCCCAAACCCATCTAGGGTTTCCCTTGTGGCCGCCGCCCCTCCCCTAGGGAACCCTAGGGCGCCTCCCCCTCCTCCCTTCCCCCTATATATAGTGAGGGAGAGAGAGGGCAGCCGCACCCTTGCCCTTGGCGCAGCCCCTCCCTCCTCCAACACTTCCTCCTCCTCCGTAGTGCTTAGCGAAGCTCTGCCGGAGAACCACGAGCTCCATCACCACCACGCCGTCGTGTTGTAGGAGTTCTCCCTCAACTTCTCCTCTCCCCTTGCTGGATCAAGAAGGAGGAGACGTCCCCGGGCTGTACGTGTGTTGAACGCGGAGGCGCCGTCCGTTCGGCGCTTAGATCGGAATCGACCGCGATTTGAATCGCTGTGTGTACGACTCCACCAACCGCGTTCTTGTAACGCTTCCGCATCGCGATCTTCAAGGGTATGAAGATCAACTCATCCTCTTCCTCTCTTGTTGCTAGAATCTCCATAGATTGATCTTGGTGATGTGTTGGAAATTGTGAATTATTGCTACGTTACCCAACAACCAGTACCTCCATTGGACCGCACACCCACCACACAGCGAGCACGCCACCATTGTGCACGTCCACCAGCTAGCTTCCCCGACGACGGGCCTACATAGACCAAATCAGGTCCTGCACCCCACATCCAACCGCGGTCGGAGCCTCCCTGCTCCATCAAGCGGCAACCGGGCACCACCAGCAGCCGACAGTGCCCCCACCGAAAACACCAGCCACGGACGACCTGGCAGATCCATGCACCCCCCTTCCCCGCGCATTGGGTACTCCCTCGCGCCCCCAACGCGCCCGCAGTACCCCCTGCGTGGCCCCACCCGCCACCGCCCTATCGTGCCGCCTCACTCCCTCTAGCGCCGGATCCCACGCATCTGAGTTGTCGTCGCGAATCAAGGCCCCTGGCCCGAAGCCACCCTTCTCGAAGCCGCCAGATCCACGGCCTCCCCGACACAGCCATGTTGCGGCGTCCTACATGTGCCTCCCTGCTCTCGAACACGGCCACCCCTGCCCCGTGCGCACGCCGGTGCGAGAGCACCGCCCTGGATCCCGCAGAGATGAGCAGCTCCGCGTTGCTGGAGCTCAAACGGGAGGAGGAAGTGCCATGCCGCCGCCGAGCCGCGCAGGCTTTGCCTGGCGACGTCAGCTGGCGGCGGCGAGAGGAAGAGGGCCGGTGGATCTACACTGACGGCGGCTAGGTTTCGCCCCCTGGCCACCCGCGAGAGCGACCCGAGCAGCTCTCGTGACACCAACAAGTGAAATAATAGCGTCTGGTTCACTCTCCTATACAATTTGCACCGTCAGATCCCACCACCCGAGATCCTAGCCTTCCGTTCCCCGAACCCCACACGAGAACCCTACGTCCCTACCCCCAACATTTAAATTTCGAACCCCGCCCCTTCTCCCACACCCCGCAATCCTCGGCACCAAATCCCTAGCGGCACACGACCTACAACCTCGGCGTGCCGCCATGGCCGCCGCCTCCACGAATCCCCCGCTGAAGTCCATCGAGGAGACGTACCTGGAGCACATCAGGCTGCGCCCAGACACCTACGGCTCGGTCCAGCAGCACAAGACGCCTCTCTGGGTCTACGAGGACGGTGCCATGGTGCATCGGTATGTCACCTACGTCCCCAGCCTCTACAAGATCTTCGACGAGATTCTCGTCAACGCTGCCGACCACAAGCAGCGCGACCCCTCCATGGACTCCCTCCAGGTCGACATCGACGTCGAGGGCTGCTGTATCTCTGTCTACAACAACGGACACGGGATACCCGTTGAGATCGACCAGGAGGAGGGCGTCTACGTGCCGGAGCTGATCTTCGCCAACCTCCTCACTAGCCGCCGCTACCATGACAACGAGCGGAAGACCTTCGGCAGCAGGGACGGCTACGGCGCCATACTCGCCAACATCTTCTCCTGGGAATTCGTCATCGAGATCGCTGATGGGCGCCGGCAGAAGAAGTACAAGCAGGTGATACAATCATGGACTTCATGAGCGTTTTACAGTTGATATTTTGGTTTTAAGGTGTGGATTAGTTAGATTAAAAAAAGGGGCACCTGGCAAACCGATCTGTCATTTGAGTATATCACTCTAGAATTCAGAATCTGATGATATTGATATTTTGGTTTTCTGGTGTGGATTAGTTAGATAAAAAAAGGGACACCTGACAAATCGATGTGCCATTTGAGTATTTGACCACTCTAGAATTCAGATCTGATTATATTGGAGTGCGAGACCGTAGTTCTTTTTTTACTGCGACTGAACGTTTTTTAGAAGAGTAATGTTTAACTAGGCAAAATGGATAAAGTTTTGCAGGGCCTGCCCAAAATTTCTCCGCTGTATGACCTGGCTACATATATTTTTTTAATATTACTGATCTGAATCTTGTTTCCTTTGATAGTTTGCAGCATTGATCAGTAAGGTTTACCGTGAAGACACATATCTAGTTTAAAAACTGACATGACCACACATATCTAATTTAAATTGACTATTAGGTTTGTACATGGTACGTTCAATATTACTTTAGATTTTAGTACACTCAATAGGAGTATTAACTAATGTCCTTGAATGCTTGTGCAGATTTTCTCTGAAAACAAGGGGAAGAAATCAGAGCCTGAGATTAAAAAGTGTGAGCAGTCAGAGAACTGGACCAGAGTTACCTTCAAGCCTGACCTTGCCAAGTTTGACTTCACCAAGACGCTCGACCGTGATATCGTGGCACTCATGAGGAAGAGAGTAGTTGATATGGCGGGCATCCTTGGCAAATCCGTGAATGTTGAGTTGAATGGTCAGAAGGTAGCAGCAAAAAGCTTCTCTGAGTATGTGCAACTCTATATTGACTCTGTTTCCAAAGAAGGAATCGAGCTACCAAGGTTTGACATAGTCTTTTGGGAGTTTAGGTGTGTTTATGAACAACTCTGACAAGTATTATTTCCGGTTATTCAAATTTGTCTTTTTTTTCAGAATTTACCAGAAGGTAAATGATCGTTGGGAGGTGTGTGTGAGTCTAAGTGAAGGCCAGTTTCAGCAGGTTAGTGTGGGCTAGAATTCTGTAGGTTACTCCGTCGTAGCATGTGTTGTTACAGGTATACCTCAGACAATTTGTTTGGATTGCAGGTCAGTTTTGTAAATGGAATTGCGACCATAAGAGGCGGAACTCATGTTGACTACGTCGCAAACCAAATCGCCAACCATTTGATGGGCATTGTGAACAAGAAAAACAAGCATGCTAGCATGAAATTACATACAGTGAAGGGCTACCTATGGGTATTTGTTAATGCACTCATTGAAAACCCTGCCTTTGATTCACAGACCAAAGAGACCTTGACAACTCCTCAGGGAAAGTTTGGGTCCAAGTGTGAGCTATCCGAAGATTTCCTTACGAGGGGTATGTGATTAGTTAATTTTGGCATCCTTGAACTGTGGTTGCACCACTAATGCTAATGTTCACTTCTCACAATTGCAGTCTCTAACCCGGGTTTTGTCACCAATCTCCTTCGTTTGGCCGAGTCTAAACTAAGCAAGGGAGCCAATTTGGATTCTCTCCCACATTCATCTACTCGTATGTCATATATGCATGCCCCACCAAGACCCACACAAATATTCTCAGAGATGCATGGAGCACAGCGTGGAGAAATCAAGAAACGTGACCGCGATGATGTGTTCCTTGAGCGATACCTAAAACTGAAGCGGGAAGAAATTGATCGGTTTGCTGCAATTGAGGAGAAGAAGCTGGAGGATCCATGCAGCATTGCCAGGTGTATCGCAACGATCGAAAAATTACAAGGTCTGCAAGTAGATGATATTTTGGTGGCAGCAGATATCTTCAAGATAAAGGAGAACAGGGAAGTTTTCTTATCCTTCTCTAGAGATGATCTTCGGTTGGCTTGGATTAAAAGGGAGATTGTGCGCAGCCAGCCATACAATCGGAATTAGGTATGCTTTATCGTTATGTACCAAGAATTGTGGTCACACATTAGTGAAGCTTCTGTTGAGTAGGTGTAGAAGTACTTTTGGCTAGTTTAATCAGTCGTAGTATAGTACTAACTTAGATGTCAAATACTCCCTCCGTTCCAAAATAGATGACTCGACTTTGTACTAACTTTAATACAAAGTTGGGTCATCTATTTTGGAACAGAGGGAGTATCTATTTTGAAAGTATCTTGGTGGCAGAACTTCCATTTCGGTAGCTTCATATCTAAGACTCATATCATATCAAGGTGTGAGAACATAATTTACATCAACACATTATGTTTCTGAGTACAAGAATGGTAATGGAACTTGCGTCTCATCTTACATTTCTGCCCACATCTGATATGCCATAGCATCTCTCTTCAAATTTCCGGCTTCTCTAGAGTAATTAAATGCTTGAATATCTCCACTCCAGTTCTGGGCTCCAATTGGTACAACAACAATCCTTTTCAGATTAATGTGTAAAGGAGCATTACTGGGCCAGGACATATCTCCATTATGCACTCGTATGAAACTATGAATAACACAATCAACAGCATATATACACGATCAACTTTTTTGGGAACTGTCCGGGTAGTGTGAAGCAACTCTTAGTATAGGAAATCTGTTTTCAGCAATACCACTCTCTACTCCGATGTTGTAGACATCCACAATAGACAAATTTGGAAAATGAAGGTACAGGGTACTCATGAAATTTAAAATTTTCCTACGGTATCTCTGCAAAGGTGTGAGCCTAGCTAAGGATAACCGCGCAAAGCTCAACTAGCTTGGAAGTAAGAAATGATATTTTTTTGTCAGGATACCCCGCAAAAAAAAGATATTTTTGTCAGGATAATAAGACAATTAAACATCCTTTCTTCTAGTGCAAGTTCACACATCCTCTGACCAGTCATCGAGGTGGCTTTTAACTTGTATCCGCCACATAGTGTTGCCGATATGTTAGCTAATTGACTGTGTGGCGCTCATCGCAAGCTTAGAGTCCTCATCTGTGTTGGAGCGGCAGTCATTGCTTTGGTCACTATGGCTAGGTAGAAATAATTTGTTTTTTAATAATAAAAACTCATCTTTATTGCAGGTTATCTACTAGTGTTCACATTGGCTCAGTTCATGACCTAGTTTTCAGCGACCAGAATACCAACATCTGCTTATGGTGGTGTGTGTGCGCTTGAAGCAGGTGGCTAAGAAAGTTTTTACTCATCATGTCGGTGTAGTTTGCGGATCGAATCCTCCTCCTTGTAGGCATTGGATTAGTTGTGTGTGCTATGTATTTTGCCTACTTTTGACTGCATGTGTGTGGGTTGGCTGTCCGGCCTTAACTATGCAGAGGTTGTGTGTGAACTCGTTATGCTTGTATCTACTGGATGCAACATTACAAGTCCCTCAATAAAAGCGATATTTATGAAAAATAATCTTCTCAATATGCTTTCGAAGTTGTGTATGACGAAGGTTGAATAGTTCCTTGTAATCTTTGGGTCTCTAACGAGCCCTTCCCTATTCTTGTAAATGATATCTGTATCCCAATATGGGTCGTGACGTTGTGGTGGATTTGTATTGCCGACATCAACAAGATAAATTTTACTAGGAGTTACATGAAAACGACAAAGTGCATTTTTTTAGAATCCTTGCATGTGAAGCCAATGTGCAAACTTGAAATGAAAGTCGCAAATGACAATAACGTTTTGGGAGCTCGGATTTGAGTGTAGACTATCGGTACTTGGCTGCCGCCGCCCCTTCCTCCCGATCCCCTCCCTCCCAATCTGATCAAGGGCTTTGAGCCACCGACGCCCCTCTCCTTGTCGCAGTCGGAGCTCCGTGGGGCAAAGACCGAGCGGGGGATGGTGGTGGCGGCGGGGCCTTCCTCTGCCACGGCTCTGGGATGCGGTTGCGGTGGAGATCCATGTGGGTGTCCTAGACATGTGCGTCATCCGGCGTCGGTGACGCATCCGTGAGGGCCCCTCCGTCGTTGATGGCTCACCCAGGCGGGACAGCGGTTCCGAGCGGTGGTGCGGCTCCAGCCGTGCGGTTTCCTAGCGGCAGATGTCACCAATGGGCACACTTGATTACAGAGGAGGTGGATCTGGTGGTCCATTCCAGGATGGGCGAGAATTTGACAGCAAAAGCTTGGTTCGGCGTCGGCTAAAACCGTCAATGACGGCACCTGCGGGCGTCATTACCTCTTTGGAGGTGTTGTGGGGCTATTCAAGTTCCCTGTGTGTCCCAGGGAAAACCACATTCGGGCTTTCCGGATCGGATGATGGCGAGGTTCCTACATCATCACCCCCATTCGGGCTTTCCGGATTGGATGATGGCGAGGTTCCTACATCATCACCCCCATGAGGGCATCATTTTTGGGGTTGTACATCGGCTGGAGGGACAAGTGTTTGTCTCGGTGGCACGCTGAGGGTTTGTCAGACCGGTCGGTGCTCTCGGCTAGTCGGCGGGCGGCTTGGTGGCAAGCTGGCAGAAACTTTATCGATACGTGACCGTAAGCCGAGTGCCTTTTTTCTTATATGCCTTGTCTGTTGTACATTGAGATCTTTTAGTGAATCTCTCAGCTTATTCAGATGTATGCTGAGTTGCTTTTTATTGCTGTGAGTTTCCATTACATACTCGGTTATGTGGACCCAAGTACCCGTGTTTTGGCACACGGCTTACACGAAGATACTCGGCAGCGTGTGATTTTTCTGTTGTGAGTCCCGTTTAGTTGTATTTTCACTGCAACATGCTGGATCATTAGTAGGGATAGTAAGCTTGCACGTGCAATGCACGTCTTAACGTTGATCAATGTTGATTTCACACAAATACAAAATAAATGTTCTAAAAAAAAGTATTAAGTTAAATGGGGACACACTGTTTTTCAAGTTGACATAGTTGTGGTCATGTTGTTGCATACAGACAGTAATATATGTTGTTTCATCCATTAGGTGTTCTGATTGGTTGTTAAAGAAGATTACATTTTGTTATGACTGAAAAAGGCAACCTCACATAGAATATATCAATGGCACCATGATCTCAACACCAACAAAATTTTCTTAAGGCATAGAACGTATGTTACAACTGCTAGCTGATAAAAAAGTATCATTAAAATTTACTCGAATCAACTATATCTTTTTATTAAGGAAATTAATGATAACGGAAATATCATCAATCCACGATATCTATTAGATTGCCTAGTTCATCATTTGTGAGTGTATACACGTACGCAAAGATATTGTTGAGTGATGATCCAAGAGCAAGGGCGATGAGGATAACAGTGCCACATGTCAGCAGAGCCGTTGCCTTAAATTTCGCTCTGACTGGATCATTACAAACTATGTTCTGCTTAACTTCGCATGCTCACGGGGAGGTTTAGAACTTTGAAACGAATTCTATATTACTTCATAAATGAATATCACATCTCAAAAAACAATCCAATATATACACAAAAGCAGTAGGTGCTCAAAATGAAGAAATGCCATCTAATTTCTTTGAGAGAGAAAATAAATGCCATCTACTTGTCAAGCGGAATAAATTCCATCTTGAAGTACCAAGTCTTATTTTGATTGGAGCACTACTTCTGAAAGCGTTTGAAGAACTTAGATGCCATCTTTTTCAACATCCTAAGATCACATCTCCATAGCGTCTTGCATATCAGATTTTGCAATCAAATCATACTCCCGCCGACCCAAAATAACTATCTCAAGCTTAGTAGTACAAATTTGTACTAAAGCTAGTACAAAGTTGAGACACTTATTTTGGGACGGAGGGAGTATTTATCAAAAAATGTTAATTGTGTTAAAGCAAGCTCTGCAAATGGATAAGTCAATTGTTTGTTCATTTGTACACTGTACAATATATGAAGCATGTTTAAAATTCCAAATAGCACGACCAACCTTCTTAGAATAACTTAGTTCCTTTAAGCAATACATGTAGTGGTAAACATATCGGGCAATATTCAACATGCAAAGGGAATAAAAAGGGAAGTCATTTTTTTCTTCTTGAAAATATTCATCGTCTTCCGAAAAAGCCATCCTCTACTTAAAAAAAATCATGGTGCCGAAGTTGACTTAATGAAGAATATTGTTAGAATGAGATTGTGACGTTCTTTTAGTGACTTCTCGAAAACTTGTAGATAGTTTAACCATTTTTGTTTTCTTCTATTTCAAAAACAATGTTGGTGCTAGACTTGGAGTGCTCATATAGCATCTCGAGATACTGGAACAATATGTCCAAAAATACCCTTTATCTCACAAGTGGTAGTATGAAGTAATTGTTGGGGAACGTAGCAGAAATTCAAAATTTTCCTACGTGTCACCAAGATCTATCTATGGAGAGACTAGCAACGAGGGGAAGGAGAGTGCATCTACATACCCTTGTAGATCGCTAAGCGGAAGCGTTCAAGTGAACGGGGTTGATGGAGTCGTACTCGTCGTGATTCAGATCACCGATGATCTTAGTGCCGAACGGACGGCACCTCCGCGTTCAACACACGTACAGCTCGACGATGTCTCCCACGCCTTGATCCAGCAAGGAGAGAGGGAGAGGTTGAGGAAGACTCCATCCAGCAGCAACACAACGGCGTGGTGGTGATGGAGGAGCGTGGCAATCCTGCAGGGCTTCGCCAAGCACCTACGGGAGAGGAGGAGGTGTCACGGGAGGGAGGGAGGCGCCAAGGGCTCAGGTATGGATGCCCTCCCTCCCCTCCACTATATATAGGGGCAGGGAAGAGGGGGGAGGCGCAGCCTTGCCCCTTCCTCCAAGGAAGGGGTGCGGCTAAGAGGGGGGGAGGAGTCCATCCTCCCCAAGGCACCTCGGAGGTGCCTTCCCCCTTTAGGACTCTCCCTTTTTCCTATATCTTGGCGCATGGGCCTCTAGGGGCTGGTGCCATTGGCCCATGTAGGCCAAGGCGCACCCACTACAGCCCATGTGGCCCCCCATGGCCGGTGGCCCCACCCGGTGGGCCCCCGGGACCCTTCCGGTGGTCC